GGTGCTTTCCAGAAGTAACAGTTTATTATGTTCCGTTGTAACAATGACAACTGCTGTTGTCTAGTAAGCCCCTCCATGATAGTCATTTTTTCAGTGCTTTTCAGGGTCAGAGTACTTTGAAAAGCACACTACCTTGAGACGTTACTCTACTTCAAAGACTCTATGAAGCCAGAGGGTCAAGTGAGACAAAGACCCAAACAAACAAACAATTCTCTAGGATAAAGCAACAAACCTCTAGAGGCCTACTCATAGAGGGTGTGCGTGCATGCGTGCGTGACTGTATGTGAAGAGATTCTGTTATATATTTTAAAATGATGTCATGCACACAACAGATATTATTTGAAAGCTATTTATTGGATGGAGGTAGAGAGAGAATGGGGAAAGGGAAAAAGAGACGTGATGGGGTGGGGGGCAGAAAAGACAGTGAGGCAGAGAGAGTGCAAGAGAGGAGAGGGAGAGAGAGAGAGAGAGAAGAGGCAAGGGTCCTTTTATCCCAGACCAGGCAGCTGGCCAATGATGACATCCCAGGTGGCTAAGCAACCTAGGAACAGACTAGTGCATCGACTTGTGAACTAACAGATTTACTAAAGATCGGAGACATAGAGCTGCTGAGAAAAAGCAAAAGCCAGAAAGCACCCCTCCAGCCCAACAAAGAAGAACTCCTAGCTAGTAAAAGGCAGAGTCCCAGCGCAGGAGTCCAGGAGTGACCTCACTGTGCATGAAGAGCTAGAGAGTGTTCTAGGGGCTCTGACAAATCTGCAAACCTCAAGGACCTGACAGCCAGGATGCCAAGATCGTGCTGCAGTTGTGGTCACATTTGGTCCTATGAACATATCCCTACTAGGGCAGAGACCTCACTTTTTGGAAGCTATTCTCAGGCCACAGCACAGTTCTGGAACATAATGAATACCTCATAAATCTTTAATGAGCAATCTTAGTAACCAATGTCTCCTGCAGCGTATCCATTCCACCTACTAGGCTGTATAATCAGAGCGTCCTCAAGTGTGGTCTGGAGACCTCTAGTGGTTGACTGCAGTTCACTGAAGGAAAAAAAAAAGGTTAAAGAGAGGTCAAAGTCTGGAGCAGTGAAACAAGAGGCAGTGATAGAGGAAAACTGAAAGAAGTTTAGAAGTGTTTCTGAAATCTGCATCTGAAGATAAAAATACTCTCTATTTATTCAGTATGATCCCATAGGGGGAAAGCAATTGTTCCCTAATGGTCAACTTCCTTGTAAGGATCACATATCCTTATAGAGTACCATGTTCACTTTTTCAAATTTTTACTGAAAGATGAATGCCTAGCTCCATAGCTAAAGTGCTTGCCAGTCAAGTGTGAAGACCAGAGTTTGAATCCCCAGAGCTATATTATGAGATGGTTGTAGCAGCTAGCTGTAATTCCAGCATTTGAATTAAGTCATTCCCGGAGTGACCTGGCTAGCGAAACTAACAATACTGACGAGTTCTGGGTTAAACTGATAGGTCCTGCCTCCATGAACAATGTGGGGAACTATCAAGGAAAATTTCCAGTAGCAACTTTACACCTCTGTATGCACACTCATACAAATTCATGTATCACACAGGCAAACAAAAATATACAACAAGTGTGTATACACCATAAACACACATATTTATGAGAAAAAAAAGAGAAAATATCTATGTGTTACATTCTAAAATACACTGCTATTTGAAAGACCATGAAGGAACAGAATACACAATTCTAGAAAGTTTAAGAACAAACAAACAAAAAACACAGGGCAGTGGTGGCCCCCTTTCATCTGAGCGCTCGGGGGGCAGAGGCCAGCCTAGTCTACAGAGTGAGTTCCCATACAGCCAAGGCTACACAGAGAAACCCTGCCTCAAAAAAACAAAAAAACAAAACAACTAGCACTCTTCTATAAATTCAAAACATGAAGAGAGAAGCAAACCATCCCTTCTCTTTAAATTAACATCATCTTCTCAAAGTCAGTCAACTTTCAAGACCATCTGCAGGTCATCTGGGATCTCAGAGAAACTTTACATCTCCTTTGCTGAAATGCTGGTCATGTGGAGAAGAACTGCTGTTTAAAATTAAAATGAATGTCTAGCACATCATAAACACTATTCACTCCCAGTAAAGAATGGAAGGAGGCGGCTGGACGCTGGAGCCACCATCTTGATCATACCAAGCCCAACATCTTCTGAGTTGGGACTAGAGTGGTGCGAAGTAGAGAAAGCAGAAGTAAATGTAGCTTTCTATAAACAACATCAATACCAGACAGACTTTGATAGTCACCTTGACAGGATTTAGAATCACCATAGAAACCTTATATATATCTCTGAGTGCGTATATAAGGAATACTCTAAATTAGGTTACCTTAGGCGGGAAGACTTACCCTAAATGAAAGTGGCACCCTATCCCGGGGACAACAGTCCCAGGCAGAGGAGATAGCCTCTTTTGGGAACTGTCTAGGTCACCAAATGAATCGATGTCTTTCCTAGATTACTGGGAGATCCTGATTTGCAAGAGAGTGGGACCTTAGACCTAAACGATGAAGTCTACTAGTCATGCTCCCTATACAGCCTCTCCTTGCCAATTAATCACACAAACTTCAGCAGAACCACTGCCTTCCTGATGTTCATTGTAGGTTATAAATGATAAGGATAATTACAGATCACTTAGAAAGAGGAAAGCAGCATTTTGGCTCATCCTTCTGTTTTAACTGAACGATAGATAATGGCCATAGGACTACATCCTGGGCCCTTCTTTAAGTGACTGGCACATGTGTAAGTAATAAACACATATGACCTTTATATAATAAGACTTAAGAGACAAGGCATGACTGAGAACATGTAAAAATGCTACACACGGGTACTAAGCATTCACACCATGACAACAGAAAAAGAACCTTGGCAGTGTGTTATCTATGATATACGAACACCTTGCAAGAGGGGCATTCCGTAACTGGAAGCCCTCAGCACTGGCTTTAAGCCCAGTTGGCACATAAAAACAATTTCCGTCCACATTCTTTTAATGGTTCCCCATATTTCACTTTCTCATTTCTCATCCACCCAGCCACTTAGGGAGATGAAGTGGGATGAAAGAGAGAATTGGAATGAGAAAAGACTTCAGCAAAGGAGGTACAGCACACAGCTTTCTCTCACTTCATGTTCTTACATTACTGGAAAAGTTAAGCAGACAACCAAATGCTCTTTAATGTGGAGCTGCATATACACAGATGTAAGAATTAAAATTCACAGGGAACAGCACCAGACATGAGAAAGGTGTGTGGTGCCCGAGTCACTGGTTCTCATAAACAGCACGGCCTCACTGGCCGGATCTTTACCTCACAGAGCTCTGTCCCACCCCAATGGTGAAGCTTTGGAATAGTCATTATAGAAGCACCTGCTGTGTCTGATCAGGAAACAAGCAAAGCACTGTTACTCAGCGGCAACTAGGTTTGACTGCATTTACCCAGCCCCAAGAAAAGTCTCAAGGCATCAGGACAGAATCTTGAATTCTAGGCAAAGTCAAGACAAGCCATAGAAAACAATGAACCAATCCAATAGCCGGAGTATTTTTAATTTATTTTTTAAATTATGTTTATGCGTGTCTGTGCGTGGGTACATGCACGTGAGTGTGGGTGCAAAGTGCAGGTGCACATGGTGGCCAGAGCTGTTGAATCCTCTAAAGCTGGAGTTGCAGGTGGTTGTAAGCTGCCCACCATGGGTGCTGGCAACATGGGTGCTCAGGCCCTCTGTAAATGCAATATATATTCATAACCACTCAGCCAGCTCTTCACGCCCCCAAAATTATAATTCTTTTTAGCATTATGGCATCAATGTTAGGTAGGAAATGGTTCAAGAAAATACTAGAGATTATGTTCTCTTGTATATTCATGCTACAAAGTTGCATGGAAGATAATTATGAAATTAAACTTACTTCTTTCTCATATGTAGTTATCATGATGAAGCTTCAAGTTTCTAATGCTTGACAACTAAGTCTGAAGTGTGTGCTTTGGATTCTCCCTTGAGAAACCCTATGTAAAGAGAGAATTTCTGAAAAACAAGGAATTTCAAGTAGACTAGCCAATGGATGACCACAGAGAATCTGTAATGTGATCATCTGAGAAGGGTTTGTATAGTTTTAAATGACACATAGTTAAACAGAAAGAAATAAAATGAAAATTCCTTTAACGTATTTCAATAAAAAGAAAAATATTGGCAGTTATTGAATCAGGGCAATGGGTCTTTACAAGCTTATGTATTTCCCTTTACCTTTGTCCAAGTTTGAAGTTTTCAACAAGTAAAACATTTTAAAATATCCTACTTCCTAATCATAGTCCTAAAAGGCTCCACTGAGAAGTGGGTGAAAGGTCCCTGTTGATTTAAGAGCTAAAGTACAAAAATTATGAAACTGGCATTTTCAGATCTATACTTTATATACAGCTGTTCAGAATTTCATGTAGTTAAAAAAAAAAAAACTGGTTGGAGACCATTCATTACATTTTTAAATCAAGTGATTTGTAATGCTTTACTCAAAAGCAACAAAATACATGTGCCCAAAAGATGTATAAAAATAAGTGCATCTTTTATTAAGGTAAGCTTCCCTGTCATTGTTTTTAAAACTCACGGTAAATGCTTTGCATCTAAGACCTTTTAAAAATTGTCATTCATTGAAGAAAACTACATGACAACAACACGGCTGGACAGAACCTCTGCAAATGCTACACAGCAAAGAGAAGAGCAGGAGAGATGCACATTCGTGAGGCTTTCAGGAACCTCATTCCAGCTACCTCTTGCTAAGCTCTTTTTTTTTTTTCCAAAATACGTCATTTAACTGTCTGTCAAAATAACTCTTGCCTAGTCTACCTGCTCACACTCCAGAGCTGCAGCCTCTCCTGATTCCCTCCTCAGTGGCAAGCTGCTCAGAGAGCACCTAGGGCATAGCGTTAGCCCCTCTGCGCTTTCTCCTCTCTCCCTGCCAGGGCGCACGCTGTCCATCGGAGGAGTAATTAATGGGCTCATTATGTATGAAAGCGGCATCCCACCACTTGGCTGTCTGGTGTGAAAGGATCCTATCAGCACTTCATTCATGTTCAGTGTCTGGGATGTGACAAAGCTGTTCTTCCTTTTGGATTTTTCCCTCACCACACTCAGAAAACAGTGCACTGGAGTGATGTGTTAACAGAGGCACCAGGGGAAGAAAGGAAATTCTTAACCTCTGCAGACAGGAGGCTGAAAGGATGGAAAGTTGTTAAGGGGAAAGCCAAGGGAAGCAGAAGGTGCTAGAGAACGTCCGTGCTTCTGGAACACACAGCAATGTTAAAGCAGCGTGATTTGGGAACATTCAAGACTCTGAATTACAGGTGAGCACAACTTTTCCAGAAGGGGAACATGTACAGGAGCAGTCAGGATTTCTCATTGCTGAGATAGTCAATGAATTTTTAATAAGTTCTGAGCACTGTGGTCAGATCAGCAGCTGTTATCTGATAAAGGCACAATTCACTGATTTCCATAATCCTATCGGAATGGAGTCTTCACCTTGCTGCTACCTGTGCTAACTAACGCCATGGGATTACCGGGTCTCAGAGATGCTGCAAGAAATAAGACCCACGGGTGAAGGAGATCACCACAGCAAAGTCCATGAGGCGTTTCCAGCATGCGAGCTTACCATTCCTCACTGAGCTTCAGCCAAATCCTGCCAGGTAAGATTCAATTTTATAACATTAATTCATAGCATGACTGCTGGAGTGAAACCTGCTATTTCAGTGAGTGGGCCAGGAGATTTAAATTTCATGTGGTTCTCCCTAACGCTTTATGCAGATTTAAACCGTCTGAGGTAAACACCTGTTTCCACTTAGGCTGCTTAGGCTGCGTGGTAGCCACTCGCAACTCTACAACAAATGCTTGCAAATCCCATTCAGTTCTCACGGAATGTATCTTTTTTTTTTTTTTTTAGAATTAGATTTTTATTTAGTAACTTGAAAGCAATCTGTATGGGAAGAGTCTAGAATGCTGCCTACGAGGCACCCACAGGGTTCTTCCCCAAGCTTGCCAGAGAACTTGGGGGAAAGGAAGAATTCATGGGCATGGTTAGCAACATTTCTGTCAATGTTTTTAAAAGGCTCAATGGCTGACTTTAATTCTTAGGAAAAAAAAAAAAAAAACTCAACTGTGATGTCATTCTCATTCACACTGAAGGCTAAACAACCTATAGTGAACACTACCGGATGGGGTGAATTTACCCCAAAGATAGCAGGGATATTTCTGTAGCACAGCAATGGGACATTTTAAAACAGAACAAAAAGAATCTGGCCCATTAAAACCTTGAAAGTTTTCATCCAAGGCCAATGGTACAAACTACAAAATGAAAGGGCTAGAGAAAGCACAAAGAATTTTAAAGGGTGGAGTGCCTTGTAGAAACTCCCCAGCACGCACTCCAGAAGGAGGTTTGTAAAGAGACTCTCCACATAAAATTCACAGAAAGAACTGTCAGCCCTCTTCACCTGATGACATTTTAATTCCTTCCCTAAAACTTCACTAGTATGAAGTCATTGTCATAAGTTCAACTGAAAAGTTAGGTTCAAAAATCTCACAAAAAGCCCTAAAACAACCATTTTTCTATTAGCTGGGAAGGGTGGAGATAAGAAAAACAACAAAAGCACACCACACCTAACTAAAGAGTTAGCTATTCCAAGAAAAACTGTCTAAGTTGTTACTCTAAAAACATATGTGAGCACTGGAGAGCTCCTTCGTAGACAGACCACTTGCCTGGCCTGTGCAGGGCTGAGTCCCTGGAACAATGTAATAGAAAGAAGGACAATTGTTTCCATTACATTGAACTCTTCCTGTTCTCAGTATTCCAGATAGGGAGAAACACCACTCCTCCTTTACTCTTTTCAAGCCACTGCTTGAAGAACAGTAAATGCCACATATCTTTTGTACCTGAAGTCACTATGGACTCTCCCTTGTCATTTTCCAGCACCAGAGGAAAGCAGTAATTTCAATACAGGTAGTGACTTGACTGTTAACTACACAGATGTGTTTCAGAAAAAAAAAAAAAAAAAGACTATATAAATTACAAAGTTTCATTTTTGTAACAGCAGAACTAATGTGCTGGCTTTTTGTCTGTTTTTTCCTAACATATGAGACTACTTGAATCCTTAAAGGTTCTTTTCATCTGTTTCCAGAAATTTACAACATTGTGCTCATTTAGCTTCCAATAATCGGAATAAAAGGAGATGTAAAATAATGCACCTGATATTTTATTTACTCACTGTTATGAGGAAGGTTTACATCCCACTTCCTGAGGACTCTGCTCCCTTTCATAGCTTATTCTCAATGACAAGGGATTGGCAGATACCAAATATCAACTCCCAAGTTAGTCTCTGACAGCATCAGTCCCACTTTCCCTCCTATTTATGATAATCCATTCAGAAAGCTATAGGTATATGGTCAAAATAAAGCTCTTCCACTGAGTGACTCTGATATCATACCAGTCTTTAAAATAAAGTCATTTTTATTGTAATGTTTTCATGCTAATTAGAAATATATATAAAATTCATTTTAATGCATTAATATTATCTTATCAAGAAGCCTTATTTTCAGTGCTTTTTAATTTTAGGTGCTTTAAGTATGTATCTGCTGGTGTACATCTGTATGATTTTCAAGTTTTTAATTTTCTGAGAGAATTTTTCAATACAGTATAATGATAGATGCTGTGTTCTGCTTAATTCAATGGATATTGCAGTAGGACTGTGCTTTGTGGTTCATTTTCTTTAAGTAACTGAATGTGAATAAGAATGTAACTCATCATGGATGTTCTCCTCCTTTCCATCTTGTTCCTGTTGGGAGAGAATGATCTTTGGTTTATGACATCACAGTCTATGACTGGGGCATTAGCTGATATCAAACATGATTATCCCCCTTTCGGGGAACTAGATGCAGAAGAGATGCAATGCAAGCACAGTCATTTCAAGTCACACCACTAAGATACCAGAAAGATCTGTGGCAGAAGCTGAATTAGGGAAAGAAAAATCCTATCACAGCACCTGTCACTTCTTTTTATGAAGGATAAAAGTACCACTTCACAGTTTACCTCACTAATAATCTGAAACATCACAAGGGTGTAAACATCATGGTACCTAATTTCACAGATGAGGATAAAATGGGAAAGGAGGAAATTCTCTTAAGAAAGCAGACCTTAGTGGACCAGGGTGAGAAAAGAAAGACTCAGGTGCAAGACTGAACCCAGCATAACTGGAGACATCAATGGTGCTCAAAAACTTAAGAAAAGCTATCAGTTTACCCCAAATGGGAAAGACAACATCTCTCAATGACAGAGTCCAAAGTATACATTCTGAAGTGAATCCCAGGGCAATTAGGGTAACATTCAAACTAGTACAGTAGTAGGAGAGGAAGAAGAGGCCTAGTTAACACCCTTCTAAGAAAACAAAAATTCATTAAGAGAGCATCTCCTTCATTACTAAAAATACTGTGTTCTATAACGTCCGTCAACATGAATTTGCAAAGAAACAATAAAAATAACTCAGGAATTGAGTGAGAGCTCAACAAAAGACAAGAGCTCCTCTTAGAACACATGTACACATATGGACCATCTTTCCTCTTTTTATCACCTTTGTTTGTAGCTACAGCTAGCTTCCAAGGACAACGCAGACCAGAAAATTTCTCTAAACATAAGTGTAGTTTCCCTTGACTAGTAGCAATTGCCCCAGCTCAAAATCCTAGTCATCTATGACAGCCTCCTAGGTTCAGAACATACACAAATATTCTATACAAGCAATAACATCTCCACACATAATTACATGGCAGGCTCATTATTTATGGTTACACCTTTTGCTTGAGATGGCATGACGTGAGAGGACTGTGAAAGCACTCAACTGCTCCCATGAATTGATTAATTACACTGTATTATTGAACAGTTGTTAGACATTACTGATATCCTCTATTTTTCACATAACATGAGATATTAGTCAAATAATCCAAGAGTCCAGAAAGTGCTGATAGTTTTGTTATGCGGTGTCATGCTGTTGTTTTCATCAGAGCATGTGGACCTTCCTACTTATCCCTATAGATATATAGAAAGGAATTCTTAGCTCTTTGAACAGTAAAACAAGAGACAATGCCCAGTTCAGTTACTCTAATAAAAACCTTGAACTTTCAGGAACAATAATCCAAAGAAGCTGGCCAGTGCACAGTTATGGTTTTAGTGTGTATCAGGACACTCCTCTAACAATCTCTCATCTCTTGCATATTGTCACAAGGACAGTCTCCTAACTGTAGTAATTTTGGGTGAACTTGTAATGCCTATGAAAATGCTATTTGTGCCTAAAAACTTCAACTAGTCTATAAACTGCATTATTCATGGGTAACAGCCATGAGAACAACGATCATATTGTCTATTTTCAAGTATGTTCAGAACAAATTAACCAGTGGATGTGCTCAATGAGTATGAAAATATATTCTTCTACATTCTCAAGAACAAGCAGAAAAACAGTGATTTCAGTTTCCTTCATTGGTAATAGGACAAGAAGTTTGATCATAGTAAAGTCTCAGTGTGGTGGCCTTTGAGAGCACATGTACTGAAATAAAAGCTATGAAGAAATCCTACCCATTAAGAAAACTATGATAGTAGCAAATGAACAAATATAATATAGCGTATTTATCCCTTATATTTCTTCTCCACTTGACATGTGGAAATCACATTTTCCATACTATGTTCAGATCCAGAACATCAATAGTCTCAAAGGATTTCAATTGGTTTTGTTGTTTGAAAAGTGATTACAGAAAACTATGGTCAAAGGATTTGCAAAGAAACTGAAGAGAAAGGGCTGTAGAAATGGCTTAGCAGGTCAGAGCACCTGCTGCTTTTCCAGAGGACCAGGGTGGATTACAACTCTGCAACTTTAATTCCTGGGGATCGGATACCCTCTCCTGGCCCCCTGGAGCACCAGGTACAGATGTAGTGCACAGACACAAATGCAGGCAAAACACTCACACACATAAAATGAAATGAAATGAAATAAAATAAAATACAGAAATTGAAGAGATAGTGAAATCAGCTATTGGATGGTAAGAGAAAAAAAAAATGACACCCTCTAAGCCTTGTATTTATTTTTCCCATTAACCCTTAGACTATGCTCAAGTATCTAAGTCAAGTTTTCTGTGTTTGTGAGCCACAGCATCACCAGAACTTCAGGATTTCCCATCAGTTAAACCTACTCTAACAATGGTGATTTCTGTGTAAGTACAGGCAGTGGCAAAAGTCTATGCTGTGATGGAACTGAAGGCATAAGCTAGCATTGCTTTAGAACTCATCCCTGGGTGCTGGGGTAAAGTCAGCTGCAGTGAAGAAATGATTAGATGTGTGGTCTTCACCAAGTAGTTTCATGTCTGTGTGCACAGCTCAAGATTTTGAGTTTTGTCATACTGTATTTTAGCAGTTACAGTCCTTCAAGAAAGATCAAATGTAGATATGGAAAGCATACAAAACTTCCTCTTCTGTGATAGGAAAGCTATAGGAGCCTGTAGGTCGCCTGCTTTTGCCATCTCCTGTTCTTTCTGGGCACTTCCTAGAGAGTAGGCACTGTAATTGTTCTGCCATCTAGAGGATTCACAAAGGTACTCTTCATTGTATATGTTTTTTTATTCAAACTGATACTGCCAAGAACTAATGGACAATTTC